TGCTGCTGCTTGGCCAACGGTTGCGCCGGCTGGACATCGCAGGGGCTGCTCTCTCGGGGCTGCGGCTTACGGGAGGGCTGGCCCACTCAGCAAAGGCTCCGGGGGGTTGCTCCCAGCGGGGATCCTGGGGCTTCCCCGCATGGCTCCCCAGCCACGTGCGCCTGGGATGGGGCCAGCCCGGGAAAGGGACTTCCTGGCCACCCTTCTCCCAGGGGGCGGGACACCCGGGCGCAGGGCCAATGAGGAGCCCTGCGAGGGGGCAAGTCCCATGAGAGAGAGAGAGAGACAGAAGTGCAAGTGCAAGTGCCTCTGTCTCTGTCTCTCTCTCTCTCATGAGACTTGCCGGAGGGCCGTGGGAGGGCCGCATTTACATAGCGCAGGGAGGGCTGTTCGAGGGCCGGATTAAACCGGGCCGCGGGCCGCAAATGGCCCGCGGGCCGGACTTTGGACATGCCTGAGCTAGCACAATGATTTTGGATAATCTTCATCCACTACCCCTAAAAAGCAAGAGCAATTGTGATAATCTTTGAACTGCAAATTAGCAGATGTGCAAGAGATCATGCTCAGTGCTTACACTCACCACACTCTACATTTGCTGAATCAATACTAGAACAAAGTTTGTGTAATCATATGCATGTTAATGTGCAATTTAATTCAGCCAAGCGAGAGGGGACTGGTTACATTGGCAAGTAAACTTGCTGGAACATGCAACACAAATAGCCTGGTTTATCATGATGGCTCAATATGCTTCTGGAGTCAGCCCATGTGTGAAAAATGTGCTACTGAGACCCAATAGCAGAAGAGAGCTTCCTTCATTTAAAGAGGACAGCCTACTGCCTACAAGAAACAGTATTCTAAAATTTCTTTGTTTGAACATAAGAAGAACAAGAGTCTAAATACAGTAATCTTCATCCTCATCATTGAAAGAGACGGATGATGCTTTAGTGATGCAGTTGTCTGAGAAGGTGGGCTACGATTTTGCTTACCATTTTCCATTGCCTTCTAGGAATGTATCTCCATTTGAGAATAAGTCAAGCTCTCTGTCCACTACCTTTTTTTCTTAATCTGTATAATTCTTCACAAAGATTAGGAGGGGTTTTCTTGTCACACAGCAAGTCACCTGATAGTCTGTTAATACTAGAATTATTCTTTTCCTTTAAGAGTAGGCTCTGACAAGGCTTATGCAAAGCTTTGCTTTAAGTACAAAGGTTCAAGGCTCCTATGGTACAACAGCTCCTGTGGTGTTTTGAAACAAAAGCAA